CGATTTTATTTAGCTCGTTGTGTTGTTTTCCCAATTTACTCAATCGGCAAACGAGTTCCAAGCAAAAGAAATTTTCCTGCTGACTCAAATTTTTGCGGCGATTTTTAGTAGAATTCGAGCTCTTTCCAACGAGGTTTTAATTTTTGGAATTGCCACCGTATTAAGAAAGTTATGCGCTAATATTGCACTGCAGGAAAACCGTTAACTTAATTTCAATTCCTCGTATCTTGCAGGTTTATTGGGCGGTTTCGAATATGAAACCAGTGATGTTTAGGGAAAATTGAGCGCTTTTCCGTGGTGTTTTAATTTTCGAAATCGCCCCGGTACTAGCAAAGTTATGGGAGAAATTTTCGCCGCAGGAAAAATTGGCTTTTTTCTAAATGCAATTTTGGCGTGAACAAAAAGCCAAACTGTAGCAAAGCCGATTTTATTTGGCTCGTTGTGTTGTTTTCTCAATTTACTCACTCGGCAAACGAGTTCCGAGCAAAAGAAATTTTCCTGCTGACTCAAATTTTTGCGGCGATTTTTAGAAGAATTCGAGCTCTTTCCAACGAGGTTTTAATTTTTGGAATCGCCACCGTATTAAGAAAGTTATGCGCCAATATTGCACTGCAGGAAAACCGTTAACTTAATTTCAATCCCTCGTATCTTGCAGGTTTATTGGGCGATTTCGAATTTGAAACCAGTGATTTTTAGGGAAAATTGAGCGCTTTACAGTGGCGTTTCAAAACGTTTCGTTTGAAATCGGCCCAAAAACGTGCCAGCTACAATAATTTCAAAATATCGTTCCTGCAGTTAACGTTTGTGGGATAACTCCCTTAATACGTGGGCGATTCAAGAAATGAAAACCTCGTTGGAAAGAGCTCGAATTCTTCTAACAATCTTCGCAAAAATGTATGTCAGCAGGAAATTTTCTTTTGCTCGCAACTCGTTTGCCGATGGAGCAAATTGCGAAAACAACACGACGAGCTAAATAAAATCGAATTTGCTACATTTTGCCTTTTTGTTCACACCAAAAGTCAATTTTTCCTGCAGCAAAGTTTTTCCCATAGCTTCGCTAATACCGGGGCGATTTAGAGAACTGAAACGCGATTGTAAAGGGCTCAATTTGCAGGAAGAATCTTTCCAAATCAAAGGCAACAATTGCCCTCTGCAGGAATTTTCTTAGATCATCTTTTAATCAGTCAAACTTTTTGAGCCGAATGCATTTGGCGTCCATCGAACGCATAAATATTTCAAAACATTCGGCTCAGCAGGATTTTCCCCGGTTTTCCAACGCTCATATTCTGCAGGTTTTGCAGCCGATTTCAATTTGCAAACTGGTCATTTGAAGACAAACGTCTGCGCTCTCCAAAGCAGGTTGTATTTTTCAAATCGCCCTCGTAATAAGGTAGTTCGGCACCAAATTTTTCCTGCAGGAATTTTTTTTTCGAAATTGCGTTTTCGGCGACAGAAATTCGTTTCGAATTCATTTAAATTGTCAAGATTCCAAAAAATCGGAAAATTTTCCTGCAGGATAAGTGATTTTTTCAAATCAGTCGATCGGAATCCTCAACACAAAGGAAAGTGCGCCAATTGTACACTCACCCACTTGACGCAAATGTGCCCAATTACGACCCACTTAAGTGACGCGCGGCGTTGCCAGCTGGTGCAAAAAATCCTGTCGGAACAGGGAAACCCACCGCACTAAAAACCAAGCAAAAAGGCAAACATCCGACCATCAAAGCTCAAAAATCGAGATCGTTGCGATATTGGAAAGGCCCCTGATTGGTTTGCGCAGGAGAGAGTTTTCCAGCCAATAATGAGCGCACATTTAATGAATCTAAAACCAATAGTTTAAGAGCTAATCAGTTAATTGAAGCGATCGTTGTTGAATGAATGGCACTTTCGTTCGCCCGATCCTGCCGGCCTGGTTGCCACGCTTCGTCCCTACTTCGTCAAACAAACGTCACTGAGGGTATTTTTGTCTGAGTCTGGCAACACCGTGGCAACAAACAACAACAAAGTGGCCAAAGTCACGCCCCCCGATTGACATTTTCCTTGACACATAACCTCACACTGTCAATTTATGTTGCAGAGCCCAGTGGCAACGTCGGACCTGTCGCTCGACCAGTCGCTGTCATCGGGCGTGGACATGCGCAGTAGTGCAGTGCGCGTGGCCGGCGACTACACGAAGCGCAAAAACGTGCTGCGCATGTCCACAGTGAAACCCTGCCGCTCGGAATTTCTGATTCAGGCGGAAAGCGGCGAAGAATTCGCCGATTGGGTGAAAACGCTGCAGCAGCAAGTCGCTGTCAGCACCGAGGCCGATCTGGTAAGTACCGCACAGTCTGATGATGGCCCGCACTGGTGCAGGCGAAACCGGTGCCGGAAAAATGGCGGGTTTTAACCGCGCGTTGTCTAGGAGCAATCGGGAGGGGGGAGACAGAGGGCGGAGCCGCAGGCCCCCCCCACCGGTCCGGCGCAGAGCAGCCATTTGTCGCCGCAGCCGGCCAATAAGAACGGCAAAACGTCGATGGTGAGCCGCAATCGATCGCCCACCGGCCAATCGCCGGTGAGCAAGACAAGGAAACCATCATCGCACAATGACAGCGCCATCCCCACCACCAGCCCCAAGAGTAAAACGTGGCGGGGCCGCGTTGCCAAGCAGTTCAAGAAATTCAACCAGGGCGCCACGTCGCCAACGTCGCCCACCGCACCGGAAGTGTACGGGTAACCAGCGCAGCTGGCAACGTTGCACGGGTGATTTGAACCGGATGTTTCAGGTCGACCTTCGGTATCCCGATCGAGCATTGTATCGCCTCGAACGAGAACGGATTCCTGCCGAGGTTTGTCGAAGTTTGCACGGAAATAATCGATGCCAAAGGTCTGGGAGTGACGGGAATTTATCGTGTGCCTGGCAACAATGCCTCAATCACGGCGCTGTCGGAGGAGATCAATCGGAATTTTGAGGAGGTGCCGCTGGAGGATGCCAAGTGGAACGATCTGCACGTGGTCAGCAGCCTGCTGAAGTCGTTTTTGAGGAAGATGCCCGACAGTTTGGTCACGTCCGCCCTCTATCCGCACTTTATCAAGGTGAGCTGCAAAAGTGGGGGGCGCAGTTGCCAAATTTATTTGATTTGTTCCTGCAAAAATCGAGCCCTTTCGAGTGCAGTTTAAGTTTTGCAAATCCGACCTGGACTAAGCGAGTTATGCGGGATATTTCCCCTGCAGGAAAAGTATTTTTTTCGACAATCCCTTTTTTGCCCGGTGAATGCATTTGGCCTCCATCTAACGCA